ATAGAGCGAAGTATAATAAATAAGCGATACCGATCTTAATAAAATAACAATTCCTACATCGATTAATTTAGATTATTTTCCGATCAATGGGATAATTATTTTTCACTTCTCTCGAAAATTTGTAAATATAACTCGAAGCAAACATAACTTTAACTCGATCACGTGATAAAGTGTTCATCAAAATTCTTGGTTCAACCAACAATTTCGCGAAGTTTCGTGCGATCAACGAACCGATATTTCTTCGGTAAACCATTGGACGAATTGCACACAGTTACCGAACTGTTTGCCTTCCAACGAGCTCAAACAAACGATAAATCCATTATAAAACGAAATATGCGATCGAAATATATGGATCTTTATCTTCTCCTTTCTTTCCCCCTCCCTCCGTTAACACAAACGTTTGCGCAACCGAAAATAAAATATCCTCCACGTGAAACGCGTTTAAACGCGTTGCCAAGGAGCACAGTTTTGTTAATTAATAATTCAGACCGCGATTGTTAATATCGTATCGAATTATACGGGCACAACCCGTTTGTTCAATAAGAGCGTTGCAGTAATTCCTAGATCGTATCAAAGATTATTATTATTATTATTATTATTATTACACGGAATGAACAATGGAAGTGGCTTTCGTTCTTACCGAAGGATTTTTCTTCTTTCTTTTCTTTTTTTTTTTTATTTTTTCTTTTTTTCCTCTTATCTCAGAATAGAGCGAGTAAATCTACAGTACAAAACAGGTCTAACAGGCTGAATTTCATTTGGAAGAAGAGTTAACGAGATCTTGATGATTCTCGATGAAACAATAAAGTAATCCGATCCGGTAGCGGATGGTAAATTTTTTTTTTTTTTCTTAATAAATTTGATTTCAGAAGATTGCGATTGTAATTGAAAACAAGCGAGGGAATGAATTATTCTTACGTAATTATTCCTATAGTTTGTTTTATATCAAGAAAACGTTACTTTTTTTTTTTTTTGAGGTATAGATTTTTATCACGCAGGCTCTGCATATTTTAGTTTTATATTATGTTCTCGGAACGAGTTTCAGCGCGCTTACAATCAACAGATTCGTTGGGATTTTTTTTTTAAATTTGATGAAACGTGATTTAGATAGACGAAATGTTAGAATTTTTCGCAAAATTTTATACAATTGTGCGAAAATTAAATTTTGAAATACATTCGATCCGATAAAAATTTAAAAAACGAAATGGAAAAAATTTATTCTTATGATTTATTTTTATGAGTTATTTTCGTCTATCTTATCTTCGTACAATAAGAGACGATAACGGAAGAATTAAAATGATGATAAAAATCTTTATCGAACCGTGTAATTCAACCGAATATGTATATAAATCGATTCCAATAATTGTGGTTTACATTATTACACATCGATATTACGCAATCGAAAGAGAAACAACGTCAATCAAGGATTGACAATTATTGAACGTTCACAATAGGATTTAAATATTAATTCGTGGAAAAACAACTTTTAAGAAACAAGTTTCCTTAATAATAGTTCGAAAGTATTGATAAGGAAACGATTGAGAACCACTGTGTTCCATTGTGAATCTCATAAGGTTCGAAAAGGCAGCAACTCGTGTGGACAACTGATGTGCAACTTCCGCTTCGATGACACTTCCTTTGACTTGCATTGTAATATATGTTAATCGATTATTTTTCATAGACATTTCATAAGATAAAAAAAAAAATATGTCATTCTATAAGAATAAAAAATAAAAAAATACACGAAATGGAAGAAGTATTTTCCACCTGAAATATTCCTTCATTAAAAAAAAAAAAATTAATTTGCAATCTATTATAACAATACTTTTTCAAAGCATAAAATCAAAGAAAGAAGTATTCGAAAGAGAAATATCTTCTGCATATCAAAATACGTACATTACGTTCCAGAATCTTAAGTTAAAATGATACATCGATCGGTGAAAAATGTTAATCCCTTCTGGAAATAATCGATTCATTAAATATAAGTATTCGATATAACACGATATACGCGAAAATTATTTCCAAAACTTTTGCATAAAGATTTTACAGTTTTATGAGCTCTAAAGATCAGGTTTATGTACTTTCGACGGTGGAATTATTTACTTTCACTCTTTGTGCTCTTATTTCTTTTATCTTCCTTCACTTCCTGTTTTATTACACGCGCCTGTGTACCTTGTAAAATAACTCTGACCATTAGAATGTCTGTAACCTAATCGAAAAGGGTTGAAATATCAATAACGATGCGAACCATTTGAAATAAACGAAAGTTTGTAATATTAACTCACCTATTGTATCACCTCGTCTACATGAATCGACGTTATATCTATATTATTTTTTTAGAATAATTCAATATTATTTATTTTAAAGAAGAGGGGGAGGGAGGGAGAAAGAAATTGACTCCGAGGTCAGACATTCTTTCTACTATTTTTATCAAATTCCATTGATGAAGAAAATGAATAAATGAAAAAAATCGAAGTGGAAAATTTTATGCATTCAGTGGATAAAAATTCAAGATCAAAGTTATCCCACTGACAAGTTAATCAAGAGGGGCTTAAATTTGATACAAAAAAATATAAGAATCGATAAATATAATCTTACCACGATTTATAGAAAATTATCATATATTATACAAATCATTCCTTCTAATAAAAGCTAATAAACGGTCAGTCACAAAAGTCTCCACCATATTAAATTTAAAATTTATCTAACTCAAAAATTCTGATGATAAAAATTTGTGTGAATTACGTAATGAATTTTCACTTTTACTTTATACTCAGACGCCATCGACACAAAATTCTAAAAAAAGAAAAAAAAGGGAAATTATTTCCACGATATCGCAGAACAGAATCCATCGAGATTGCGTCGAATGATGCAATTTCGCGTCATAAATGGGGATGGACGACGAAGAGGAATCTGGTCGCAGAATGGGCAGAATCGGCGTAGAGAGAAACGATGGGCAGCAAGAAAACGGAACGTAGTAAACTCGAGGAACTCGAGGAACACTCGACCCTGAATGAGATCAACGATCGAGTTCAGTGTCGGATCGCTGGAAAAGGAAAACGGGGTGGGCCGGAGAGGAGAGACGGACATCGTCTACTCGAGAGTAGACTTTAACCTGTCACGCGCGCCTGGAAATGAGAGTAGCTGCTTAGCCTGTGCGCGCGGCTTGCGAAAGCAACGATTTCCTGATCTCTGCACAACAGAGAATACCACGCGTCTCTCCTAAGTGGTTAATCTCACTTGCCAATTTTCCTGCAAATTCGTGACGCGTTGTTTCTCTCCGTTCGATCGTTAATTACGAAATACCTTTGAAACGTATACTCTGGAATCGATCTGATTGATAATAACGATCGACGAGAATGAGAAAATGATGGAGGTTGAAAAGTTTTCTCTCTTTTTTTTTTTCTTTTTGAGAAGTAAAAAGATATATAGCTAGATTTCAACTTTATTTAAGAAAAAATATAATTAAAGTAAGGAGAAAAATATTTTATCGTATGGATAACAAATTTCGCGTTAATCGATTGTAAGTCACTGCATTTTTTTTTTTTTTAGTTGCAAAAAATGCAAGGAATCGAAGTAATCGAATGGTAAATAATAACGTAATTAGTGTTCACAGAAACGTTAAAAAAAGGAAAAGGATTTAAAATTTCAAATTACCAATCATTTTCCAACATTTAACCAATTATTCGAGACACGTAGGAGCCTCGAATAATTGCCAATTACTCGTCATCGAAAAGGAGGAAAAAAGAAACGTTTGAACCGACTCCCTCGCAATATGGAGGCAATCGTCCTCGTCGCGAACAGTCGATGGACTTATATAAATAGATTTTGAACGAACAACACATGCGTGAAGAGACGACATATCGTGAGCGCCACGGTGAAAGATATGGACAATAAATGATGAGTGATTTTGCATTCGATCCGCGTCTCAACGAAGAGGAAGTGCGGCATCGTGAAAACTCGGAAGTCGGATGATTTATACCGGTATATTTTTACATTGCATTTCATATACCGCAACTTCTTTTACGACCGATGAAAGAACATTAGAAAATTGTTCGGTAATTCAGTTATTCTTACGAAATTCCTTCAATTTTTAACGTAGATAAAAAAAAAAAAAGACTGCATCCGGGGCGAAACGAACAACGTTCGTTGCTTTTGAATAGAATAATGGATTAATCTTTCGATTGTTTTATAAATATTTTGTATCCATTTTGTGAAACTTTTGAGTCGATTTGTTGGCGAGAAAAGAAAAATCTCGATGTTTCGATATTTAATTTGGATAATTTCATAAATTATTTACAAGAATAATAGCTTTTAAAAAATTTGAAATGCACAAAAATTATATATATATATATATATGTCTCGCAATATTTTAATTTTGTCTAAAATCATGTTTAAATAATCAAATTGGTATTGCATAAAAATTCGCGGTCAGATGGTAATCTTATCGGCCTGGAAATTATTTCTTGAGATTTTGTGAGAAAATTCGTGATCTAGCTAGAAGATGCGATTACACAATGGCTCGATTTTTCCCAGTACGACCAGCTGATTGCGGCATTTAATAGCCTTTACAGTGTGTCGTAATTCCCCTGGAAGCATAATGCATCCCAATTGAGGAAACGGATCCCACCTTTGCCCATCGCCGATGATTCACTCGACAGAAAGTATCGCTTCCTTCTTCTCCCATTATTAAACCAATAAGCTGTACGACTCGATCTTTCTTCGCAATTTAACAAAGAATGTCTATGGATTTTAAGTAAATAAAATTGCGAATTTTTTTCTTTTGAATTTGTATCAAAAAATAAAAATCGTCGAGTTTTTCTTACGACGATAATGGATTCTCAATGTGTGGATTGTGAATATTGATGATAATTTTTATTAATTTTAATAAAAAAAAAAAAAGAACGAGAAATAGAAAGGAATAAAAGTAGGATAAATGGATACGTGTAAGAATTATAAAATCATAAAAATTAAATAAAATAATCATTTTGTGTACTCACGAATACATGCAAATACGAAGAATCGTAACATTCACGTGATGAAACGTGTTTTACCTGAACAGGCGAATTAGAATAATTAAAAATATTTTTAAATGACACAACTTGCTTGATCATTCTTACACGAAAAAGACAAGAATCAAGCAATTCATCTCAGTAAAAGATTAGAAAGAAAAATTTTAAAGTTCAAAGTTCGCTTTTCTTTTTAACAATTTTTTTCTTTTTTACATCAATCGCCTTGTATTTTAAACAATTGTGAATTATCGCATTAATAAACTCGAGAACAATTTGAAGTATTGAATATCAAAGGAAAAGAATGGAATTACTTTTTAATAAAATAGAAGAGAGGAAATGGAATAGCAACAATGGAATATTTGGATACGTTCGACTCGCCGTTCGAAGTAAGACTGGCGTACGAATAGAGATCGCGAGGTATAAATTTTCGAATTGTATACAATAAGTGGAACGACATTTTGTCCTGTTATAGAATGGAATTAAAATCGATGTGAAAGACGAAAAACAATCGTAAAATTTCTCTTTACAGAGAGAGAGAAATATAGTATACACAAAGAGAATTTGCAATAATGTACATAAAAATTAGGAATTTTTAAATAAGATTCAAGATTTATCGCTTTATACAGGATAAGTGCAACCATATATTTGAAGATCGATCGTGATTCTTGTCAATTCTGCATATATTAATCCCCTTTCCATTCGAAAAAAACACTGTATTCCATTCAAATAAATTCGAAATGTTAATCTTAATTGATATCCATCTCTATTTCCACTTTGAATAATTTATACGATTCACGTTTTGCAATTTTTTCGATATTAAGTCGAAAAAGAAACATATAAAAAATTAATAAAAAAAAAAAAAAGAACTACTCACGATTGCAATTTTGTAATATTTGATCGATCTACTAAAATTAAAGTGGAGAGACGAGTATCCAAATTCACCTTTCACAATTATTTCATCGACAACAAGAAGAAAAGGTAACTAAACTAAAGAATATAATAAATTCACGTTTTTTTGTAATCATTCTCAAAATTGCATTACCACGCGCAAAGAAAGAAAGAAAAATTCGTCTGAAAACGAGATCAAACAACGAAGTAAAGTAGCACATCTCCTTGCTAAATCGATCCTTGCTCCTGCCCTATGGACGATCAGCAAAGAATCTTCTTCGTCACAATGTAGCAGACGGGCGTAAAGGAGCAAAATGACCCCTCGAAACGCGCAGCGAGGAAAGCCATTCCCGATCGAGATATCCGATCGATTCCACGGGATTTACGGGCGAGACGCGGAGGACGCCGGGGAGAGTTTATCTTTCGGATAAACTCGCCATTACAGTATCGTAACCGGGGGGGAAGGCGATTTGCTCTATCGCCTTCGCCTTCAGGTGCAAGGAATCTATTGTTCCACTTAAGGACTCGGTTATTTTCAGCACGTGCGCTCATGCGATGCGCGTTGTTAAAAGAGGCGCAAACGCGCCTTTTCTGGCGTCACGGGTTTTAATGAAATAATAAAGGGCCGCTTTCTATGTCCGGACAATTGCAAGGAGCGAGAGGGAGGGGGATTGAATATATCGGGACAACACGGTCCTTTGAATATCGAGTTTAAGCGGAGAGAATTATTCTTATTGTTGATGGTTTAAGTAGCTGGTAATACTCGAGACAGATGTTTCGTTACGTTTATTGTACGTACTTGTTACGTACTCTTATTCTTCAGTTATGATGGATGATTAATTCTTGTGACGTGAATGGTTAATTAATTACGATTATTAAGGTAACGTTGACGTTTCTTTGATCATTTAATTTTTGTTAAAATTACGTTTAAATTTTCTGCTCCTTTTGTTTCTCGTTCAAAGAAACAAACACGGTTCGAAAGATGGAAAAATATATTTATAAGTAATAATTACGCCAATTAAATTTCTTATACTTTATTTAACGCGATCAATTGTTTTTGTTATACGGATGATCAAAATTTTTTAACAAACCTTTCTTTTACGTTTAATATTTTTATGTATATCGTCACAACGAGTATTAAGGGGAGTATACGCTTTAAAAAAGAAGCAGCACAAGTGGATATCTCAAGATCCAAAACCAGCAATTGACCAGAAACGAAGAAATCCTCCTCTCGTAAGCCCGTCTAACCATCAAAAATAAATTGTAAAAACGAAGCGAACGCACAAGAGAGCAACCAAAACCTGATCGCGGATGTCCGTGATAAGATACATTAACGCTTTCCACCAACGAAGGTACATGCCTCTCTAACTCCGTGCCAAGTAACACTTATCGTTTCCTACAATATCCAGAAACACGGTCTCGAATTTCAGCAAACGAACGAGCTTTACATCCGTTCCGCTTCGAGCACGTTCGCGCACACACCTAAACGCTGCACGGCACACTTTCTCCTAGCTTTTTTTTTTACCGCGCGGCCAGCTTCTTTCCGGCTGCGAGCCCGACTTCCGCCGCGCCCAGAGCAAACATCTTAATACATTAGATGCAACTGCTAAGAGAACAACAAAGAAAGTGACCAAAATAAGAGAGAGAAATAGAGAGAGAGAGGCTTGCATCACGTATAAGTGTGATTCACGGGTCGGCGATGCTTATCACTTTTCTTTTCACCCTACAGGAAAATAAGCCCTGCGCGGAGAAGGCGAGCCGATTCTCTCTCTCTCTCTCTCTCTCTCTCTCTTTCAGTCTCGACGGTAATCATCCGCATAATAATGGCCTAGCCGGCGCGCACGCGCCTCTGTCACTCGTATAAGGAGAGGATCGGTGCCTACGCGCTCGTTCCGCCGCCTTTTCACCTCGATCCTTTGTGCCTATTTCCCGTACGTGGAACGAGGAAAGGAAAGGGAAGAGGATCCTGTCCGCCTCCACGTGGTTCGTGCTCTTCGTTTACCGTGCGGGCGACACGCGTGTACGTGTATGGATCAGTTGGAGGGCAACACCGTTTAGATAGAATGTAATTTCGCGAAAGATATCGCGTTACGTGATAAACGCGTAGTCCTCTGATTGTGAGTTGTGTAGTCGCGAGCATTGGGGGGCTTGTAACTGGTTTGATCGTGCAGCAGTAAGATTGTAATCTCGGGAAATGTTTCGTGCAATTGTAGCGATTACAATCGAAATATTTAAACGTTGATATTATAAATAATATTTGGGGATTGATAATATATAATACCGTTTTTGTAATTGGATATATTGTTTATACATATTGGATAGATTAAGATTAGATTTTTATTAATATACTACTTACTTTTCACTTAGCATCGTTTATGTTTGAAGGTGTCGATGTAAAAACTTATTATTGTATAATTTTTTTGCGCTTCAATCTCCGATATACCTAACAAATATCCAAAGAGAGGATAAAAAATTCCACGACAAATTCCCAACCATCTTCCCAACCACACCCTCACGCGCAAATACCTAAACCAAACAAGATCCGACTCTCCACGCATCGAAACATTCTCAAACCTCCTATAACGTTTCACGGCCACGATTCCCAATCGGTAAGCAATCTTCCTTACCGATATGCCCCAGACCACCTACCACGGAGGCAGTCACATTAATTAAAGCAACATTACACTTAGTTACAGATAAACTCTCTCGGTCTGTTTGACCGCGTGGAACGCCTCGAGGGGCATGAATTCGAATCCTCGGCAAACGTTGATAAAAGAGACGACGAAGGAGATCGACAATCGGGCGAAGAGAGAGGCTTCCGCCGAGGCGAATGATACTTACGCCGATTCGTACCCGGACAAGGCTACGATCTCCGAGCCTCAAGGCAGCGCCGGTTGCAGAACAGAGGCGATGGTTCTGGTGGTGATGGTGGCGGCCTCCCGTCTCAAGGACACCGGTTAATGCATCAAGCCTCGTATACGAACGTGTTGTCGCCGCACACGCAAACACGTACCGGCTCGTACGTTTCGTTCCGGCGAGTTCCCTTTCGAGTCGAACGGTAGCCATTTCCCAACCCTTTATGGCCGGCCATTATAATATCGCTCGGAGAGGGGAAAAAAGCCACGTTTATGGGGAACGAGGGGTGTTCACGGTGAATCACGCGCCGCTTTTGTACCGGCGTCAATGAAATTTCATTAACTCTCGTTTTATTTCGTTTAACTATGGAACCCCCTCGGTTTGCGCCGTGGAACCGATGTTTCGAGCTTTTTGCCGTTTGAGATGAGACCTGTGTAAAATAGTATTTTATTTTTTTTTCGGTCTCACTTTTTCTTTTTTCTTTTAATTAACGATTTGTGAATTTATTTTTTGAAAGTATCAAGTATTTTTTATAAATTATTAATGTTCGTTCATTAATTTTTTCCAAAGGTAATTATATATCAGAAGCTCCATAATACCTTTGATTTCCTCGCTTCCTTCCATACCGATAAATTTATATAATGATAAAAATTCAAATTTATATTTACATTTTAAATTCGATAAATTATTCGCGAGAATTTCATTTGCAATTCATCCTCCTCCTGATATTCATTCTGCTCCTGATATTCTTTCTCTCGGCTGTATTAATTTATGTAAAAGGAACAATGTGTGGTGGAATTTAAATTGGGATCGGTAATTATTGCATAACCATTGTAAAGAATGAAATTACATATTACAGAAGAATATTTTCTCTGTCGGTACAACGTCGGACAGAATTCTTCAAGCGAAATTATCGGACAGATAGCATTCCAATACTCGCACGGGAATGATTCTACGTGCAAGTCTACACGTACCACTTCAAGTTCATGGCTCTTTGAGGAAATTATCGGCCAGACCATCTACAGTTAACAATATGTGGGTGCCAGCATGATGAAGCAAGGAGAAAGGCCATGTTAAAGTTCACGCAAGGATCACCTTGATGAACTTGTTTCCAAGTAACTAGGGAGCCATAAAATACATTTTCTTGCGCAACCATGGCCCGAATATGGCATAACATTTTTACCATTTTCGCGTGTCGCGTTTGCTTACTTCGTTTGTACACTTTTTATACAAGCCTTTTTACGGACGACACGATTCGTTTCGACGTGTGAAAATACTTGATGGTATAATATTACTAC